CATAGGAAGTCCCCCGAATTGAACCCGCATCCCCGCGACTGGTACTCTCCCCTGCAAGCAGGAGTAGGGTACCCAGACAGCGGAGGTGGGGGCCACTTGGGGGATTTCCACTGTGCTTGGGGGAGGCTCCTGCCTTCAAGGCGGCGACACGGTGGCCGCGGTGCTCCTCTCCCTCTTCCTCCTTCTCCCGGTCCTCTCTCGATGAAGCCCCCCCCCCTCTGGACGTGCCCCGGGAGCTGTCGCAGTGCACAACCCGTGGCGATCCTGGTCAGGTCGCCAGCGCTGGCGTCGGTGGAGCGGTGGCTGACCGGCGGTCTGTCCGCCGTGCGCCGGTGCCGAGGGCGAGAGCGGCCCGCGCTCGGTTGGGCCTGCTGGCGGCTGTACACCCGCCGCGTTTTGGGGGTTGGCGGTTCACCCCAGTAGCCTCCGCCCAGCCCCGAACCAGTGCAAGCACGCCCGAGAGAACATATTGTTGTGGATCCGCTGGTGCTTTTTGTCCAGTTTTTTTCCCGCGTTTAGCACCCATTTTCTGGTGGCGAAGGGTGCGCTTAGAGCGGGCAGTGCGGTCTAGGTCCCGACCCTGTCGGACAAGTGCGCGGGTGGGCGAGGAGGGAGAGGGGGACCCCGGGGGACAGCCGCGGAGACGGCGGAGCCCAGAGGGAGGGAGGCCGAGGGAAAATTGCGAAGAGAGGGAGGTGGGGAGGGAGAGGGGGGGGGGAGGGTGAGGTAGCTCATGGCTCCCAAGACCCCCGCTGCTGATTGGCAGAAGTGGCGGCTCACCACCTCGCCCCGACTTCTGGGCCGCCCAGCCGTCGGGGAGTGGCCTCGGCTGCCCCCGTGGCCGCTTCGCCGGGCATGCCCCCCACGGGCTCCCTCTCAGGGCACGCGGCCCCTCGGGGCGCCGCCGTCGCAGGGGTCTCGGGGGCCGTCGGGCAAGGCAGGAGGTCGACGGGGGCGTCGTAGGCATGGGCCGGCGGGAAAGGGGTCGCGGGGCGTGGGGAGAGAGGTCGTGGGGAAGGAGGGACATGGTCATCTCCGCTGGAACTGCCGTCGGCTCTGTCGCCAGCCGGCAAGGAGTGGGCTCGGCGTGTCGGAGTCGTCGGAGGTCTCGTCCTCGTCCTCCTCGTCATTTGTCTCGTCTAAGGAGACTTCGCCGTCTTCGTGGCCCCGCTCGTGCTGCTGGGCGTAATAGACGCTGCGCTCGACGCAGAAGTAGCCAGAATTAAAGCGCTGCGCTGAGGCGTGCGGCTGGAGGCCGCACTGCTCCCCCCTCTTGTTCTCGTTGCGCAGCCGGGTGTGGCGGCCGCCCAGTGCAAGGGGAGTGGCACGCGCGTGCGGCACGTAGCCGCTTGTCCAGGGCCCTGGGGCGGGCGCGCCCTCCTCCGCTTCGTCTGCCTCACCTCCGTCGGAGCTGTCGTGGTGTCCGTGGTCGTCGTGGGGTTCGTCGGCGAGGCCGTCGTGGGGGCCGTCGTGGGGGCTGTCGCGGGGGCCTTCCTGGTGGCCGTGGCCATCCTCGCGCCCACCTTGGCGGTCGTTGGCGTCGGCGTCGCAGAGGGGGGGTCGTTGGGGCCGTCAGGTCGGGCGAGGGGTCATGGGGTGGGGGGGGGGTCACAGGAGCGGTCGGGTTGGATAGGGAGTCGTCGTCGTGGAGGCCGTCGGGCACGGGGTCGGGGGAACGGGGTCGTGGGGTCGGCGAACTGGTCGGCCCTTCTGTGGGCCGTCCAGTTGTCCGTGAGGGAAGCGCTGCTCGCGCAGCCGAGGCAGTCCTGGCGGGGGGGCGGGCGCGGAGCGCGCGGCGGGCGCGGCGTCGGGGCCGTCGTGGAGGCCGTCGCGGGGGGCCGTCGTGGTGCCGGGTCGTGGGGGCCTTCGGGTGGGCCGGGGGGCAGTCGGGGGGGTCAGGTGGGGGGCTCCAGGGGTTGGCTCCGGCTGCCCCCGTGACCGCTTCCCCGGGTGTGCCCCCCGCGGGCTCCCCCTCAGGGCATGCGGCCGTTCGGGGTGCCGAGCCCGCCGAGGGGCGCCTGGCCAGCGGCCCCTGTGGTCGCTTCCCCACGGTCTGCCCCCCGCGTGCTCCCTCGCAGGGCGCGCGGCCACTCGGGGCGTGGCTGGGGGGGGCGTTGGGTCCGTCGTGGGGGCCGTGGGGCAAGGGCTTGCGGGGGCATGGGTGGTGCGCGCGCGCTGGGATGTAGGGAGGGAGGCGGAAAACCACGTCGTCGCCGTAGCCATCGTTGGAGTTGAGATGGGTCTCGGCCGAATTTCCTGGTGGCCTGGCAGGCCGCGGCTGAGTTACATGGCGCTCTTGCAGGTCACTGGTCACTAGGGGCCTCCATGACGATCTGCACTCCGCCTCAGGGCCGCCGCCACCGCATCCATATCCTTGACGTCTGCCAGGCGCTGACGGCAGGCTGCATAGCGGACGCGGCGGAAGGCCGCGCGCAGCCTAGACCCCTGACGGCCCGAAATCTCCTCGTAGGTCCATTGGGTCTTGATCGCAGACATTGCGTCCGCCATCGCGGCTTACCTCCATTTGTGCAGGTTGGCATGCTTAGCCTGTCGCCCGCTGCGTGACCCCCCGCCCCTGTGTCGAGGGCCGGGCGGGGGGGCCATGCCCCCGAGTCGGGCAACGGCTCTCCTCCTCCTCTTCCGCCGCCTCCTCCTCCTCCTCCTCCTCCTCCTCCTCCTCCTCCTCTGCCTTCTCCTCCCCCTCTCTGACACGTTTTAGCCAGACATGCCTTGCAGAGCCTGTTTTGGGTTGTGTGCCGAAGGGCCCCTTCGCAGGCGCAATCATCTTGTTTCACTTGGACGAATCATCGCGCCAGGCGCCATTTGCGCCACCGCGTGGGCAAGGGGCCGAGGCGGGGATTTTGACATAACCGTGGCCCGATTTCCGAATGCCTCGACAGGCGGCGGATGTGGATACTTGGAGTCCACCAGCTCTGCCAGCCATTGCACGGAGTCTTCCGAGCCAGTCAAGCGCCTGGTCGCGCAGCGCAGCGCTTCAAGAACGGGGATGCCGTGTCGCTTGGAAGGCCGAAGGGGGGACGGGACCAGCGCAAGGGACCATTGCAGAGGAGTGCATCTGATTGGGCAGAATATGCCCAAGAAGATCTCTTGTTCTGCAATGGTATGGGGAAGGTTTTACACGCGTCGCTATGATGCCTGAGCCACGGGCTGCCGCCGGCAAGCTATCTGCCACGCAATTTTGGGGCACCCAGTGGGCGATCCACCCGGGACGCCAGTCTGGTGGTTGACGAGATTCTACGCCGCTTCCGCGACTCCCTCAGAAGCACCTAGGTCAAGTTCTTTGTCTTAGCTGCGGGCATTCTGGATGTAGAGAAGGATTTCGATCTGATGCCTCGGGAGCAAGTTTGGCTTGCGTTGGAGCGGCTGGCTGAAGATCGCGGGGTCCGGCTCACGGCCGAGGAGTTCTATAGTGAGCCTTGCTATTTTGTGCGCGACCACCGCGCCGACCAACAGCGCCGACAACTATTAGTGAACTCAGGTGTTCGGAAAGGTAGCGTTGAAGGACCGTTGCTGTGTTTAGCCATCTACGAAGTGATTGCCAGCAACATATTCCGTGATTTTCGTGAGGCAGCGTTTGAGGGAATTCATACACAATGCGACCCCGTCTCCAACAGCTATCGGCATTCAAACACTTTCAACCTAGTTGTGTCTGCCAAGCTAGATGTTTCATATATCATATTCGTGGACGATCTGATCGGTTTCGCTGCGGTGTCTGATTTCAACCAGGTCCCCGCTTTCCGTCAGTTCTTACGGCAGTCTGACAAAGATAGCGGCCTCAAGCTGAACATCCCCCAAACCGAACTGCGCATTGCGATTTCGGGCAAGGAGCGCCGGTGGGCTAGAAAAACCGACACAAAGAGAGGCGCGGGAATTCGCATGACACCGCGAGATGGCCAGCCCCAGGCCTTCCACGCGACCCTGGCCGTCAAATATCCCGGAGTGAGCTCCGCGCGACAGGGTCCATGACCGAACAGATTTCAACTCGGCTGCAAGGTGCAAGTGCGGCGCGCGGTCGTCTGGCACAGCGTGTCCTCAAGGGCGGGCGGCTTGAGCACCGTGCTCACGGTAAGGCTGCGGCGCTCGCTGGCGCGATCAATCGCATTGCAGGCCTTAGAGATCGCGATGCTGACGAAGATGGACCTCGAAATATTAGGAAGGCGGCAGAATCGGAAACTTCGACATCTTCTTAAATCGTCAGCACACTTACATAATGCACCCAACGTGGGTATGCGTGAAAAAGCTACAGTCCATTCAGTTGCATCTGCATTATGACTTAGGCGCTTGACATGGTGGCAGAAGGCTATCGCTCCAGGTTTAGCCCCTTCCGCGCCCCACTACGACCCCACGCTCGCTGTCAGGGCCGTCATCTTCGAGAAGTTATCGTTCGAAGTGGACGCGCGTCTGGCCCCTAATGGGCGCTCGGCCCAGTTGCAGTCTGACCTTGGGTTCTTGCGGGACACAGCCTCTGCCCAAGTCAAGGCCGAGGCACCCGCATTACCTATCGCTACCGAGCGCCCGTGGCTGGAGTGGTTGGCCAATGCGGCCCAGGCGTACCTCGAGCAAGTATTGTCGTGCCGGGCCCAGAGCGACCCCTTGTTGGGGCTGGGCGAAGTTTGCTGAGCGAAATCGTTTGGTCTGTCTTGATCTTGTTCGCATCTGCAACGGGCCCAAAGGGCTGGCCAATCATCTCTGCAGCGCCCATGGTATTGAACCATGCTGGCTCGCCTTACCAATGGCGGCCCTCTACAACAAAACATGCCCCCATTGACAGATAGTGTTTGCCAGAAAGGATTCAGTGGTCAAGCATTTCGATGACCGCCAATGCGCTGCTCTAGGCCAGGAGTCTGCACTGCGAGATTCTCAGGCCCAAGCGCCTCCAGCTCCGCCGGCACGACCAGGTCGCTTGCAAAGTTCCCGGGGCCATGTTCGCGCCAGTGGGGGTGCTCTTGAGGAGGGGGGAGGAGGAGGCCCTCGCCGAGGCCGCGGCGGACGGGGGCGAAGACGAAGGCCTGGGCGTGACCAACTTGCACCGGGTCTTCGCCAAGCTGGTGCCCCAGCGCGAGGACGTCCCCAGGACCGATGCAAGGGGCGACCACGTAGTGGCGAGCTTCTGGGAGGACACCCAGATCGCGATCGCGCTCGAAGCGAGTGCCCAGCACTACAAGCGCGAGGGGCAGCGAGCGCAGGAAGAGGGCGAGGCCGCGGAGACGTAATATCGGGGGCACCCGCTGGGCAAGCGGCCCGACGCTTACCTGGAGGTGCTTCTCTTCCGCCCCAACGTTGCCGCGGCGCTCAAGAGCGCAGAGGTGGACGCGGCGATCCAGCAAGGCCCCTCTCCAGCAGATGCCAAGGCAGCAGCGCAGGTTTTCGCGACATGGAGCCTCAAGGCGAAGGACAAGGACAACCGCGCGGTGGCCACGCGGTGCTTCAACGTGAGAATGGCCGACGAGGACGAGGGCAAGGTGGCGACTATCAAGTGGGCGTTCGCCACCAACTCGCACCCCGAGCTCCGCGACGCGCTGTTCCTGTTGAGGACCACCGTGGGCCTCCGCGCTGCGGGAAGTCCTCTCGACTTCGATTCCGCCCCGGGATCGAAGGCGGCGAAAGAGCTAGAGAAAATGGTGTTCAAGAAGGGCGGAGGCCAGGGCGAGGGGACCAAGAAGGCCAGGAAGAAGTGAACCGACAAACAAATGAGAGGTTAGGAGAGCGGCCCCGTAGTAATTAGGTAGAGTCTGATCTGAAATTTCTCTGTGAGAGGCGACGACCTCTCTGTTCAGAGATCTACAGGCCACGCTGCCAGGACAGCGGCGGACAACGCTGAGAGATCCCAAGCTCGTTCGGGGACTTAGTGTTTTTTTGGTTTGGCCTTTTGTAGATGGCCGGCGGCCACCTTGGTCTTAGAGGGGACTGAGGCGGCTGCCCCTTCAGTGTGACCCTCACAGGGGTGAGGGTGCTCAGGGGTGGGATTTTGTGGATCCCAGGCCTAGCTTCCTGGCTCATTGTTTATGTCCCGATGTACCCCTAGGGCCCAATGCATCTTGTAAGTAGCACGTGTCAGCGCCGAGACATCGGTAGGCCTCTAGCCTAGCCCACCGCAAAACTTCCAGCCGACAGTTCAAGGGAGTAGCGACCTAAAAGGAAGCGAAAGTCGACCTCCCAAGAGTACCAATTGTTTGGATTCAGGGTTTCTTGAATCGGCCGCATGTGTTCCTCTATGGACTGGATCGTAAATCCCCCGCGGCGGATCCAGGCCATTTGCGAGCAGCTGCTTTGCGAGTAGTGGAGCGCGCTTGTCGATTCACCGAGCGCCTTCCACTACTCGCACAGTGCCAGCTCGCAAACGTCCGAGAAGCGCATGTCTCCCTTTCTGGCATGGACCGTAAATCCCCCGCGGCGGACCCGGGCCATTTGCGAGCAGTTACTCTGCGAGCGGTGGCGCGCGCTTGTCTCGCTGCGCCTCCGGCGCGTCCCGACGCTGCTCGACCGGCGTCTGATCGTCTTGCGCCCGCGGGTCCGTTGCGCGCCGCTCGGAGTCCGCCTTGGGCGCCCCATGCGCGCGACGGGCGCAGGGGCCCGCCTCGCGCCGAGGGTGGCGGGGAGTAGGGGGGCGGGGAGGGGTCGGAGGAGAGGGGGGAAGGAGGGGGGGCGCGTGTAGGGGGGCCCTCCGGCCATGTGTTTCCGCACCACGTGTGCTACCACAAGCTTCCAGACACCAGCGGAGAGCACCACTGGAATTATCTTCGAGACGCCAGCGGAGAGCACCTCTGGAATTACCTTCTACGCTATATATATATATATGTATGTGTGTGTACGCTGCTCGTGTGATAAACACTTCCTGGGAGTGGCTTGTTGCGGGGGGCGGGGCGTATTATATTTTTCGGCCGGTCGCATCGGCCACGCGGCCGGGACAGTAACGCAATGGAAATGAGGAAGAACGCTTTCGGCATCTTCAATCCGACTGCAGTGTTCTTGTAATTAGTTGTGTCGTGCGGCGCGTGAGGCATAGCATGGCACAGTCGCAGTCTACGTGATAGCACGAGGCCACGTCAGGCCAGCATCCCCGGCGGTTGTGTGGAGGCCACGTCAGGCCAAAATCCCCGGCGGTAGTTTCAGCGAAGCAAGCCCCGGTACATCGCCTGACGTGCGTTGACCGACCCAGAAGAAACACGGTGGGCTGATAAGAGAGCGAGGCGTTCACGTTCGCCCCCCCTCCCAGCTTTGTGCAGCAGCCTCTGGTTTCAGGAAGCGCGGGGAGAGTGGCAACACCAATCCCGCGCTTCTCTATATTTTGCCTGTGTGGCCGCACTTTGGCTCAAGGCTCGACGTCCGAGCGGAGAAACCATGACAGAGGGGAGGAGCAACGAAGCGCGGCAACGCCGGTTGCTCCTCCGCCTCGCTATCACGTGCAACGCCCTCCTTAGGCTTAGAATCAAGGTGCCTATTGATAGTTCCCTTCACAATCCTTTTCCCATATCTCCTGCCAGAGCCCTGGAAATCCTGCGTCTCACAGCGCAGGGGGTGAGCATGGAGGAGCTTGCGGACTTAGAAGAGGTGTGATGAACCCATACGGTTAGCAATACCACGCGCACTTTCCAATAGGCGTCCCGTACGACCACGAGGCGCTGTCAAGGGGGGGGGAGTCAGGAGGAGGGAGGGGCGGGGAGGAGGGGACGGAGAGGGGGGAAGGAGGGGGGGTTAGTCAGAAGGAGGGAGGGGCGGGGAGGGAGGGGAGGAGAGGGGGGAAGGAGGGGGGGGTGGTCAGAAGAATTTCCAGGATTTCCGCAATCACGCAGTGATAAAAGCTTGCTAGCTCAGGCTTTGGGAAGCAGGTCGCGAGAGATATGATTAAGGTATTCGCGCCGGGCGTTGGTGATCGAATGTAGGCGACACGGATTCACTAATCCCTGGCCGAAACATCCGCAGATGCCGCCCAAACCACAAACCAAGGTCTTTGTGTGAAATTGCACGGTGTGGGTGGGGTGCGTCCAACTTCCAGCCAAGTGTACATTCCGTCCAAGGGGGACCCTGGATCACTTACAGTTGACGAGAAGCCGATGGGAGCACTCACTGTTTAGCCATTCGGTTTCCTTGGCCAGGGTCGCCGAGCTACGGCACACAGTACACGACCTGCGATGTTCGGCCACGGCCATGGGAAGACGCGAAGCGCGCAATGGGTTTAGGAGCAGAAGGAGAAGGGGCTAGGACCAGGGGCCTTCGTGGTCTCCTCGTGCTCCTGAACGGCACAGATGGATTCGAGAGCGACGCGAAGGAGCCTCCTCCTGACCGAACGGGTTTTCCGCTCGACATTGTGAATTCTGAAACGTTCTAACTCCGAAACTCTAGCTCTGGTAGCGGCCTCGCCTGCGAGGACTGTCGACACAGGCATTGCCTTGTACCACAAACGAAGGCCAGCCCAGAGCGACGACGTCTTTGCCTTCTAAATCGGGCGGGATTTGAAGCACTGTAACCTGGTGTTCGGGACGCGACTGATCTGCCATCAACCTACCTGTGGAACGCCAGACATCTGCTTGTGGCCCAGTGGGGGCAGCAAAAGTTCTATCATACCACCCTCTAGCCTTAAGTCGGGCATGCCCCTCTACAGGGGAATACAGCAAAACTAGTAACAAATAGTTTGGGGACGATGTTTTGACTATTTTTGAATATTTGTTGATCATGTGTTTGAGTACTTTTTATTTGTCGCCCAAAACCCGCCTGTAGGGACACGCCCGACCTAACTCTAGCCACTTCAGCACAATCGGTCACATAAACGAGCCACCCAGCAGTGAAACGCAGGGCCCATTGGAAACCTAAAAGCTCGCCCCTGGGCACCGTCTGAGAGGGGCCAGAAAGGGGCCCGAAGACATGGGGCCCCAGGATACACGGAGAGAAGGAGCGGAAAGCGGCGACAGACAGACCTACTCTCCTCAGCCTCGGGTCGTGGGTATCTTTCCCCCCCGAGGCGTCTCCGAAAATTAAGACGAGGTCGTCTGCAGACCAGGAGAGGTGGAGGGGGGGTGGGGGTAGTAAGAAGGAGGCACCTGGAGATCCGACGCTCCAACAAAAATCGGAGCGGCGGGTTTTGGGCCGTTTGCGGCCCCTGGAGGGCCTCGCCAGGCCTTGGGACCGTCATCGAAACAACTCGGGACGAAAAACTGGCCCCCGGGAAGTGGTCCAGACTTTTGGCGCCCACGCATCTAAAGAATTGGAGAGGCCAGATGTCTGGGGAGGGCGACGACGACGACGACGACGACGACGTCGTCCACGACGACGATGAGGACGGCGACGAATACGACGACGACGTCGACGACGATAAGGACCGCAACGACGACGAGGACGACGACGACGACGACGTCGACGACGACGATGAGGAAGAGGACGAGGATGAGGACTAGGACATGGGCTAGGACGAGGACGACGAGGGGGGGGATTAGGAATGGCTCGCGTGGATAGTGGTGCTGGCTCCGCGGCCGTCATGCCACGCTACCTGGGCCCGTGCGTGGACAATGACCCGGGTATGGCAGCCACTGCGCCTCGCAACGCCTTCTTCCGCCTCCTCCTCCGCCTCGGATCCGGCGGCGGCGGAGGAGGAGGGGGAGTCAGTCAGTCAAAAGCCGTGCACACGAGAGGGCGCATAGGCAAAACGAAGTGTGCCCATTGGCAGGCTCGCGAGCAAGCGGAACATCCAAACTGGTATGCGCGGATTTGCTATGGCGCTATGGCCGAGGGAAGGGGGACCCTCCGTGTGTTGCGCAGGCACCCCGCCGTCAGTAAGACAATTTCTTTCCAGGATTTGGTTCTCCGAGGCGCCTGATTCGGGGGAGCGAGGACGAGATGGGCAGAGGAGGCAGAAAGCAGGTCAACCCCAGCGGGGCTAGCCCGCGTTACACCTCTTGGAGGCGAGCGCGGGAGGGAAGACACGAGGGGGGACGATCTATTCGGTAGGATAGGATGGGGAGGAGGAGGAGGAGACAACATCGGCAATCCGTGCACATCGCAAAGCCGCGCTGGCGCGCACATGCGCGCGGCATCGCCAAAGGCAAGCAGTGTTCTGCACGAAGCAGAGCTCGGTTTACGCGGTGATCCACATTCTGCTTCTCCTCCTCCACATCCTCCTCCTCCTGCGAATGCCAGAGAGAAAATTACCATATTCCCCTGTACATCCCCTCTGGTATCTGTCTCCACCTGTTCCATCCCTTTCATCCCCTCCCTACCGCACGTTCTTCCCGCCGTTCCCCTCACAGATCCATTCTCGTCCCCTTCCTGTTCTATCCATGATCATCGTCTCCAGCTTCACTCCCTGTGTGCCCGACTCTGGCGCCCTCGCCTCGCCTCGCCTCCCTCCTGCCCCGTCCCTCCCGATCCCTTTCTTATCCCAACTTCCCTTCCCATCCCCCTCGCCCCGTTCTTGCCACATCCCTTCTCATCCCCTTTGGCGCTCCCCCCCCCTTCCAGTCCGATCCCTTCCCAGGAGGAGGAGGAGGAGGAGGAGGAGGAGGAGGAGGAGGAGGAGGAGGATCCACCTTCACCCCCTCCCAGCCCCTTCTCGTCCCCCTCGTGCCCCATCCCTTCCGTCCCGGACTTGCCCCACGTTTTCTCCTTCCCATCCTCTTCCCTGCCTCCCTGTCTGTCCCGTCCCCTTTCCCGCTCCCACCAACATCCCCGCCTTCTTGCCCCGTCT